CAAACTCCTCTATTCAGGTGGCCTCCATTAAAAAATGAATAATAACGAGAAAGGAACCAGTTTGAGGCTATACTAATATTGTACTTTTAAGTTAATGTATGAAATGTAAACAAAAAGCAGAATATATAACAGAAAATTATGTTAAGAAGCAGAAGAAAATTTCACACATACATGCCTCCATGAACTAGGCATTAAATCAAACATGGTATCTTCAAAACAAGAGCTCGAATAAATACATACAACAGCTCACAAAGCAATGGTAAGACCGTAATTGGACTGGAAAAGTGTCAGTAGTCAGGGAAAAAAGAAAGTGGAGAAAAATAAAACCATTATAGAAATGAAAGTCATGTCAGAGCAGCAAAATGTAAAATGGACTGTTCTGCAAACAATCATGAAGGACAGAGCTTGAGAAAAAGAAAGCAAAATAAAATTGAAAAGAAGTACAGAGCTAATGTTGCAAAATAAATGATAACTACTGGAGACAAAAATGATCTATAATAAAAATAATTAGTACCTCTGGGGAAGACAATAAAATAAGTGGAATAAAAATGTTAACAGAAACAGAGGGAAGAAATTCCTAAAATAAAATCTACAACGATTCATGAACTGTAGTATTCGTGGGCCTGTATTGAAAAAGTGACTCATTCACTTAATCTAAGCAAGAAATGAATCCAAGTTGAGAACCCAGGAATAAAGCTGCCATGTTAGGAAAGAAATTATGTTTAGAAACCGGCTAAAAATGTTGTGAATCTTTGCAGTGTAGATATAGTAATATGATTGACATAGGAGAAGAAAGTGAGACTCAAAAAATATGTCTGTTTGAAAGATAAATGAAACTATGGATTTTTAGGACATTATTTGATGTTACTGTTAGAAGCTTGTCTGAGCTGAGAAAGACAGAGTAGCTAATTAAGGCACGCGAGACAAAAATGAGAGAGAAAGCCTTTATCACTTACTGTGGTGATATAAGCACATCTGTAAAGTAAGAGAAAACGCCTGGGCGCCCTGCTCCATTTCCCCAAGCCACAGTGCACTGGGGGAGAGCCGGTATGTCAGTATAGATGTGGGGATCAGCTTACCATCTGGGGCAGTCCTGGCCTTGAGGGGAGTTGTAAAGGAGGAGGGCTAGGAAAGGAAAGTGCTGAGTATCAGCCAGAATGGGGAGAAGTGTCTTCCAGAGTTCCACCACCTTCTCCCATAAGGAGGGCTTGGGAGAGATGTGTGCAGTGGACCTCTGCCCAAGGCCTCAGATAAAGAGAACTAGACATGCAAATATATGAAGAATGTGCTGGCTAGGGCGCCTGAATCCTTGACTGCAGTGGCCCACAGAAACTCAATGTGCTGACCGTGTTCCAACTCTGGAGTGTGAAGGGTAGCTCCCCTCAAGGCCTGCGGGGAGAAGCCTTTGTAACTGTCCACAGGCCCGAGAAATCACAGAGAGCGTTATAACCAGGAGCCGGACTCCTTGGGTATAAAATAACTAGTAAAATTGAACTTAAGTCTGTAATTCATCTAGGTAGAAAATGAGGAATTGCTAGTCACTACTATATAAACTACACACGAGCAGAAACCTTGTCTGGTGGTTCATTGTTGTCACAGACTTAGCACAGTGCCTGGCATATATAGTAGATGCTCTGAAATGTTGGTGGATTACTTTATGAACGTTGTTGAATGAACAACATATTGTGGCTAAGAACACCGACAAATACCAGGCAAAAGGTCACAAAGGATAACAGTTTCAAAATAGGTATTTGTTAGAATGGATTTCAAAGCAAGAGCATTTAAGAGTCATAGAAAGTTACTTTATAGTGATGATTAACACAGTCCTCAAGAAAGATCTGTTTGTCGTATTTATGCACAAGATAACATCAGAGTTCATAGAGCAGGAAATGGTAGGAAATATCTACTCAGTTTTTATTGGATATATACTGTGAGCCACAAAATAGAAAATCATTATCTTATGAATATAAACTCAGTAATTCTAAGTAAAATATGATCAAATAATCAGAAGTACATTCAAAGAATAATGTAGCATAATTAAAATAGATTTTGTTTTGGGAAGTATAATAGTGATTTAGTACATAGGAATTCTATTACTATTATTCAACATGTTAATAATTGGAAAGAGCAAAACTTTGTATTAGAAAATATTTGACAAAATGCACTTTTCCATTTGGTTTTAATCTCTCAATAAAATTAGGACAAATGCATTCTGTTGCAGATGTTTATGTCATTTACTAGCTTTGTGTGTATGTGTGTTTATATTTCTGTTTAAACACAAACATGCACATGTATCTCCAAATCCAGTAGCATGCTACATGGTAAACTTTAAAAGCATTCTCACCAAAATAATGAACAAAACAAGGATGTCTACCTCTGGGACTGTTATTTAATGTTGTTGTGGATTGTTAGGTAATGTACTCATGTGGGAGAAATAGCATATAAATATTAAGGAGGATTCTAAAGAATAATTGTATAGGCCTGGAAAACAAAAAAAAATACTATCCTTAAAAAGAGTATGAGGAACAATTAGTGCATTTGAGAAGGGGGTTGTTTACAAAAATACGATAGCCAGTAGCTTCCTATATATACAAACAAAGACATGTTAGAAAATATAATAAAGTTTCTATTTCTCGTACAGATAGGAAACTTACAAGCACCGACAAATACGTAACAAAAAAATCTGCATGACCCACGTGGGAATAAAAGATATTTGAAAAATTGGAAGTATGACTGAATATTGTACAAATTTTAGTTCCCTTTAGATAAACTAAAATTTATTAAAATTGTCAAATGTTGTTTTCTAACCTACCAAGTTTTTCCTAAAGTGTTTATGACAATTAAATATAAGCATAGCCAGGAGACTTTGTGCAAAAAGAAGTAATAAAGCTAGTAACAAGACCAGTAAAACTGCTCATCAACATGTGATAAACAGTGCTACCACACTGAGTTGACCTCATGTCCTCTGAAAGCAAAGGGGTTTTTATGACTTGTATGGCCAGGTTATAGAAAAAGAATAGATTTCCATTAGGTTTCAAATATCAACTTATTAAAGATAATTTGTATATCTCCATAACTACTTTCTTGAATTTCAACACATTTAATGCCTTTGAATGCCAGGTTAAATAAAGTTGTGAATGGTTTGAGTAATTATTTCTTGTATACCTGCCCTATCATTTGAATTTTTTTAAAAAAATCACTATTTTGAAGAATCCTTTAAAATTGTAATTTTTTATGCCATCCTGTATTGGAGGCAGTAACTCTGTTTACTCCCTCCAGACTCTAGACAAAGGATATTCCTGATGTAAAAGATTGTTGTTTTATTTTTACCTTAGTTTTAGAAATGTAGCTTTAATCCATCCATATTCAGTTAAGACATCAGTAAGTTGCTGATCACAATAGCCCTGTGCTGACAGGCTCTCTGCCTTGAGTATGATGTGCTGTCTGACTGAAATGCTCTGCCCCATGTTTTCTGACAGACTAGTCAGTGTATGATTTGCACATTGTTTTCCCGAGGACCCAGGGATTCAGAGGTGCTGCAGGAACTTTTCAATATTTAATTTTGTTTTTATGTTACATATACATCTAAAACTATTTCAAAGCCTGTGATTTAAAAATGATAGACACATACATTCAAACTTTTAATACAGTAGAGACAACCAATGTGTTCCCCAGGTTAATTCACTCTTTACAGAACTCAGAATAGAGCTTGTCCTGCCTTATTCATGTCCTTGAGTTTCTTAGAAGTGCGTCATAATTAAGAAAGTTGTGATTCTAGTCTGGTTGCTTGTTTCTAGCTGAGCTTATATACTAAGAGTGCTGAATGAGAATTGGAAAACCCATGACTTGTTTCTGTGTGCAGCAGACCCCCTTATCCACGTGGGAATACATTCCAGGACCCCCAGTGGATGCCTAAACCCTCACATAGTACCAAATTCTGTATATATATCGTGTTTTTCCTATATATACATACCTATGATAAAGGTAATTTATAAATTAGGCACAGTAAGGGATTAACAATAATGATAAAATAGAACAGCTATAACAATATACCTTATAACAGTTCTGTGATTGCAGTCTTTCTCTCAAAATACCATATTGTACTCACCCTTCTTGTGATAGTGTAAGATGACAAAATGCCTACATGATGAGGTGAAGTGGGGTGAATAACGTAGGCATTGTGACATTGGGGTTAGACCACTGATGACCTGACCATAAGTCAGAAGGAGAATCATCTGTTTCTGGACCCTGATTGACTGGGTTTGACTGAAATTGGAAGGCGAAACCACAGATAAGGGAGGGACCACTATATTGTATTTATCTTCTGATATATAAAATAGAAGCAAAATAGCATATTTTTCAACTGCTAAGCCCAGTAGGGATTATACTGATTAATCTTATGTTACCTTTTGAAGTTTTTTGACTATACACAACTGTAGAACAGTATAATCATTGTGGATATCTGAAAATGGGACCCTTTTTCATTTGGTGATATTTTAACAGAGACCTAAATGGAAGGGATGGTGACTGGTCAGTATATCACATTTCCTAAATAAATATTATCACTAGAGAAGTGTTAAAAATCTTCTTAGGCCTTATGCTAAAAATTTATTAATTATAAAATGAAGTTCTCAATGTTTGACTCCAGAAAACACAGTGCTGTTAGACTTGAGGTGTCACAGAGGTGCAAAAATACTTAGGATTCAGGAAATTAACATTCCAGCTCTGCTTTGGCCGGTTCTGAGTCTTAGAGGAAGTCACTTAGTTTTTTATAGCTTCGATTTACTTCTCCAACTTCCTTCATAAGATTGCTTTGGAAAGTTAGTTTAACTGAAGTTAATTTAAAAAGTGTTAAGTTATATAAACTTTTGAGTATTAAAAATAAAACTATTAAGGGTTATAATTTCTGATATATTCAGTTATAATTAGTTAACATTTTTCCTTCTTCCCTCTTCTATGCATCTTTTTAAATGTTTTTCCCCCAAATGTTTGTTCCTTAGGGCATAACACTAGAAGAGTTTGACAAATTGTCTTTCAATATGATTTTAATGAGCCCTCCCTGTCAACCATTCACCAGGTATGTATAATAAATATGTCTCTGTTGAGGAAGGGTACTTACGAGGGATTCATTAAATCAAATTATACCATAGTTTCAAGCATGGACACTTTGAAGACTATTAGCTGCATTTCATAATTTTGACAATTTTCATAAATAATTCCTTTTATCTACTCATTTTTATAATTCAGCATTAATCATAAAGGAAATAACAATTACTACCAAATAAGCAAAGCAGTCTGGTCGATAGAAGATAGGCAGAGACCTTATGGACCTCTTTAATACCTACCCAAGATACAGTATTTATTTCTGACCTAAGTTAGCTTAAATTAATCAAACTAATGAGTATTCAGGAATCTTTTTAACTGATTAATAAAGTAAATTTTCATAATATTCAATTCCTAAATTACTTAACTGTAAAATTTAAAAGCTAATCAAGAATGCATTTGTGAATTTTATGTTTCTCAGAATTCATATGTACACAGAGTAAATCTGACTTTTTATAGCTATTTTGTAGTTCATTTTTTTTATTATCTAGTATTTATTTCTGTGTTTCAGGGAATTATATCTTAGATGAAATCTTGACTAATCCATCTTCATTTAGATATTTCTAATTATTTTAGATAATAGTAACAATCCTCTGTCTTACATAGAGTATGCCATTTAATTTAACGAGCCTATGGGTTAGATGTTAATGTTATCATCATTTTAGAGGTGAGAATCTGAGGCACAGAAAGATTAAGTAACTTTTTTAAGGCCATACAATTAGAAAATATCAGAGCCAGGATTTATCAGTTATTTTATATGTTCCTATGTAAATGTATAAGATGATTTTAAGTGGGATATCACATGTAATGAATATTCTCATGCTTAATTTCCACCTAAGTTTTGCTTTATATGAACAACTCTAGGAAATTAATTCCCCAAGGATTATTGTGCACTTATAAGCCAGGCATTGCTTTTGATATGGTAGTTCCTGTCCTCAAGGAGCTTACAGTTTAAGGGAATGACTGAGAAATAATTATCATAATGTGATATATAATATATAATAAATGAACACTAGAAGTGCCATGAGAGCACAGAGGAGAAAATGGCTTGCTATATACCAGGAGACAGGAGTTCTTTGAGAGGCAGTATCTGTGCCTGAAAGTAGATTGGGAATTCATCAGAGAATACAGAGAGCATTCCATGTAAAGATGCCTCCGAACATATGTGAGCATATGGCCTGTTTAACTATAGTAAGTAGGATGTACAGAGCAGAAGGCAGCCCCAGTACTGTGTAGCCTCATCACTGCTGCACTGGGTCTCCTGTGTCTTCCCTACCACCAGCAGCCCAACTGCAGCTGCTGATGGCAGCAGTAACTGGTTCTGTAATACCGCCGGCATTGCAATGCTGAGAGGAAAGGGACATGGTGAGATGAACCCAAGATTTCTGAGGTATCTATTCAAGTCCGCTCTAAGTGTCCCTCTGAGCCTCAGATCCCCAGATGATTCTGGCCCTGCTGGAAAGCATGAGGGAACTGACAAGTGATATCAAGTAACTCATCTAAGGCAACGAAGCTAGGAAGTACCCAAGTCTTAAACCCTGTCCTCTGTTTCTACTACCCAGGCCCAATCCAAGTCTTCATTTCTGCTTGATTCTTGATCACACTGAATCTTACTTGTAAGATCTAATTACTAGTCTAGACACCGGCTATTTACATGTCCCGTTCTGACCTAGTTAGTCTAACCAACTTGTAACTCCTGCTTATAGAATCAAGCATTCAGGTAATGTCCTTACCTTTTGCATTGGACGAAATTGTCTTGGTTTTACCTACTATGGTCTGCTTAGGTGGTGATTAGTTATCAATGCCATTACTCTATGTTGCCACCCTCCCCAATCAGCTCATTCATCTGAACTTTTGTTTTCTCCTGTGGGACAGAGCAAAAGGTGTCATCAACCAATTGTGTGTGTGTGGTATGTGTGGGTCTTTTTTTTTTTTTTTTCAAGTTTTTATTTATTTATTCGACAGAGATCACAAGTAGGCAGAGAGGCAGGCAAAGAGAGCAAAAGGAAGGGAAGCAGGCTCCCCGCTGAGCAGAGAGCCCAATGCGGGGCTCGATCCCAGGACCCTGAGATCATGACCCGAGATGAAGGCAGAGGCCTTAACCCACTGAGCCACCCAGGCGCCCCTGTGTGGGTCTTTTCTAAACAAAGTGATTTTAAGAGGGTAATTGATTTTATTCCCTATTGATTATTTTGTTCTTCTTTGCCTCATATAAGTCATTTGGCATATTGTTTTATAATAAGCATATTTATTAGATAGGCAAGGCTTTTTTCATTTTAATTAAGTGAATAAATGCATTTTGTTCTCTATAGCAACAAAGATGATCATATTTTTTGTGGAGACCAACTAATTTCAGTTCTCTCAGTTTTGATGTTTTAAAAGTGACTAGGTATCTTTCTGTAAGGAAGATTCTTGATGAATTTTATTTTATTTGTACCTTCTTTATCCTTTAGAATTGGCCTGCAAGGTGATGTGACTGACCCAAGGACAAATAGCCTCTTATATATCCTAGATACTCTCCCAAGGTAAAAATTTTGTACAAGCTTACCTTAAATTTAAAACTTTAGATCTGGAAGAATGTGATATTTGTCATTTTATAGAGATTAGCAGCTTATAATACAGCCTTCAGATACCGCGCACATCATTTATCTTATGCCATGACTGATAGAGTAACTGCAGTGTTTGCCAATTCCGTGGCTGCCACTGGAGTGAGTGACAGGGAATTACAGTTTCATAGCTAAACTCTGTTGCCTCTCCTTAACAGTATTGATGCAAGTGATGTGAATGTTGGTGAATGCTGTTGCCCAAAGCCTGGAAACTTGTGCTAACCCTAGAAGCTGCCGTTCTATATAAACAGCAGCCCTCTGAGTTGTGCAGTTCAGAGCCTCTGTATGAACCCGTGTTTTCTGATAAATTTTAGTGGAAATTAACATTTCAAATGTTAACTTCAGTAGCTCTGCCATTTTTATGGGGAAAATGAATAAAATATAAGTTGTCTCTCTCCTCTGTAAAATCCTTTATAAAAAAGAGAGTGCAGAAAATTACTTACCTCATATCTCCCCCAAGTAAGGATTTTCTTTACTTCTTACTTTTTAGTAATGACATGATTAGAATTGTATTTTTTGTTTGTTTCAGATTACAAAAATTACCGAAATATATTCTTTTAGAAAATGTTAAAGGCTTTGAAGTATCCTCTACAAGGTAAAAATGTATTTATTATTTGCATTGTGTTCATCTTAGACTTGGCATATTGTAAGAGCCATCGTGAAATAAAGATCTTAAAAATAAACCATATATTCTGACATTTTACATATATTATATATTTTAGTCATTAATACTGATTTTGACTAATAAATATAAAGTTTCAAAAAGTTAGATTCACCTGATTCCCATCCTGATGTGTTTGAATTTTTGCAGAATAAGCGCTCAGTTTTAGCTGCTAATGTGCCGCCTGTTTCTTTGGATGTAGAAATATTCTTAGTAAGAAATGTTCCTGTTGATAGGCATTTTCTGTCCTGCAGTTAGGAGAAGTAAGCCCTGGGTCAGGGCGCTTTCAGATGGTAGCCCAGCCAGAAAGTATCCATGTCCTTGAACTGGCTACTGTCTGATCATTGCTCCCCCATCTGATTTGCTACAGATAGAGGTCCATCCCAGTAGCAAATTTAACATCAGTAGGCTAGTGATTCTAACTCTGGATAGACTACAGCCCCACGTGGGATAAAGTATCTGGCAGCTTTACTTATTTATAATAGAAATCATCCCTATCTTTTTTTTGAGAAATATAATTTCTCAAGTACTGGACCTAATAATTATGACCTAGGGTCGTTTAGTTTCTAAACAAGTTGGGTGGAGATACAGTTATCACATAAAATGAAGTTACGTATAATTTTTTATATGAGAACCCCATTTCCAACTCTCGGGTGAAAACTTTTCTTTCTTCTCTTATTTTTTCTTTTCAGAGACCTGTTAATACAAACATTAGAAAATTGTGGTTTTCAGTACCAGGAATTTCTGTTATCTCCAACATCTGTAGGTATCACAATTACTAATTTTCTTATACATTTTCCTTTCCTTTTTTTTTTTTTTTTTTTAAGATTTTATTTATTTATTTGACAGAAAGAGAGTTAGAGAGGAAACATAAGCAGGGAGACTTGGAGAGGCAGAAGCAGGCTTTCTGCAGAGCAGGCAGCCCCACACAGAGCTCCATCCCAGGTCCCTGGGATCATGACCTGAGCTGAAGGCAGTCTAGTCTCTTAACAACTGAACCACCCATGTGCCTCCCTATACATTTTCCTAAAGTGAATTTGACTCAATAAAGAAAATAGATCTGTTTTGAATGATATTATACTTAAATCTTGAAATTGTTCAGGCATGGGTCTTACTTTCTAAAGAATATTGTACAGGCATATAGATTTATTTATACATATTTTATGGAAAATATTATATAGCTTGAATAGAGAATATACATCTCTCTTTCTTTTAAAAGATTTTATTTCTTTATTTGACAAAGAGAGAGAGCACAAGCAGGGGGAAGGGGAGGCAGAGGGACAAGCAGGCTCCCTGCTGAGCAAGGAACCTGACATGGGGCTGGGTCCTTGGGATCATGACCTGAGCCAAAGGCAGACACTTAACGGACTGTGCCACCCAGGGGTCCCGAGAATATAAATTGCTTTTCACACAGAAAATAAAGGATAGTTTGTTTTCAAAATCTGTGACATTTGGTAGTTCCAAATCAGGTGTTCTGTAGTTTGATAATAATTCAGAATCATCCAAAATAAAAAAACAAATGAACATATGACAGTTTTCTATTAGTTTTTTGGGGGGACATACCATTAAAAATGCAAACACCATGAAATCTTGCCATTTGCAATGATGTGATGGAGCTAGAGGGTATAAATGCTAAGCAAACTAGGTCAGTCAGAGAAAGACAAATATCATATGGTTTTACTTATATGTGGAATTTAAGAAAGAAAACAAATGAACAAAGGAAAAAAAGACAAACCAAGAAACAGATTTTTAACTGTAGAGAACAAACTGATAGTTGCCAGGGATAGGGCAAGTGGTGGAGGGATGGGTTAAAGAGGGAATGGGGATTAAGGGGTTCCATTGTGATGAGCACTGGGTATTGTATGTAAGTGACAAATAACTAAATTCTACACCTGAAACTAATATAACACTGTATTTTAACTATATTGGAATTAAAATAAAATAGAATAAAATAAAAAATAAGATGCAAACATTGCTTTTCTTTCATGATATGAAATTGAAGTGGTTATGACATTTGGTAGATCTTTTATATTATGAGTATCACCATTTATTTTTTCTTTTGTCATTGTGTTTGTTAGCCTTTTATTATCTTTAGCCTATTATACAGTTATTTGCCCTGAAATTAAAAGAAAACCCATTTCAAAAATTAGATGTACATGAAGTATGGAAATTGGCATTATGTGTGATCTCATTAAGTTTATTTCATATTTATTGCCTTCTAACTTTTAAATTTTAGTGCATCCTCCTTTTTTAGTGAAGTGAGGCAATAAATAGCCAGTAGCTATATTTGAATTTTATTTTTTATGATTATTATTAATAATGAATGTGAGAATGTCTATATAACTTATTATCTGGGAAATAGAAAATGAAAGTGACTCAAAGGCATATGACTCATCAGATTCAATCTCTGTTCATTCAAATAAAGGTACAAAGCACCAATTTAAAAGGTTTAAGAATTTGCTACAAAAGAGTCTTCCACATATCAATAACAGAATTTTTTCTGGCAGAAACTAAGTGCATACCTGTATGAGTTTTTTTGATAGGTGCAACAGTTGATGCAGATCTTTATAGTAACTAACTGCTCTGCTTTACTCCAGCTTGGCATTCCAAATTCAAGGCTCCGGTATTTCCTTGTTGCAAAGCTTCAGTCAGAATCATTACCTTTTCAAGCCCCTGGTCAGGTATTATTATTATTATTATTATTATTATTATTATTAATCTATTATAAGTGTATCTCAGTCTGCTAATTTTTTCAAGAACTAATTCATGGAAGCTTACGTGTCTCCTATTGAGCCTATAATATACACCATGGCTTAGGTCTATTTCCTAGAGCTTTTTCCCCTCCTGATGATGTTTTTATTGTTTTAAACAAGATAAAAAACACCTTTTCTTTCATTATTAGAAAAAAATGTAAGTTAAAAGTAAAAAAAAAAACAAAAAACAAAAACCGTCATCAGTGCTGTTATCTTCCTTTTCCCCTATCATTTCCCCTTTGACCATTGGCTATTTTGTATCTGTCATTTTCCCCCCAGTACAAGCCACTGATTTTTTTTTTAAGTTTTTATTTATTTGTTTGACAGAGAGAGAGAGAGAGAGAGAGCGCAAGTAGGAAGAGTGTCAGGCAGAGGGAGAGGGAAAAGCAGGCTCTCTGCCCAGCAGGGAACCCGATGAGGGGCTTGATCCCAGGACTCTGGGATCATGACCTGAGCTGAAGGCAAGATGCTTAACTGACTGAGCCACCCAGGCACCCCCCATTGATTATTTTTGATAAAATTCATTACACTGTCCTAACAATGGCTTAACAGTATTTTAACATATTGGTTGCATTTTCTTTGAAGTCAATCCTATTTAGCCTTCATTGATTAAAATATAGTGATTAGTACAAGCTAGAATAAAATACTCAGTTGCTAGATAGGATCTCTAATTATGCAAGCACCTGTACATCTTTTTGTCAAAATTGCTATGGAAGACAGAATTTCAGTGATTCAGTGAAGCTCTCCTAAGTCATGTCCTACTATTAGGGGGTCAGTAGCATTTTGATTGCTTGCCATACAGTACCAAAAATCTCCCCTTCCATGGTGGTCAATTCCAAAAACAATATATAAACTATATTAACAAAGACATTAGCATTAAAAATTCCTGGAACTATTTTTCTTTTACAAAATAGGACATTCATTATGCATGGTTACCTATTTTACAGGACAAGGTTTTCCTATGGGGCTCATGAGTAGAAATAACCTTTCGGGGTAAAAAGGGCTTTCCTTTTTTGAATTACTAGTTTTCCTCTAGATCATGGGTATATTCCAGTTTTTCTTTTTTAGTGAAGGAGTATGGCACAGTTTGAACCAATGCACATTTTTTGGAAATGTTAATATTACTTTCTTTTTTTTTTAATGTGCTGCTTGTTATTTCCATGACTTATTTATACCTAATGTTACTTTCTAAACTTTTTAAAATATGATACTGCATATTAATAATTCAACAAAGAAATAGGAAGTATACTGAATATGGATACAGCATCATATTTGAACTTCCTATTGCTTTGTTGAATGTTTTTATTAATAAATACAGCAAGCAGTAACTCCATGGAATAAACCAGTTCTAACCTGATGACACTATAACTATATGATGAAAAACTTACAATAACTTGTGCACATACAAGTAAATCACAATTCCTATGTTTTTAATGACAACTCTATAAAGGCTAAAGACATTTTTTACATAATGTTGACTAGACATTATTTGTCATTTTTTTTTCTTTTTTTTTTTAACACCAGTTCTCATCGATCAGGTCAAACATATTGGAGGGATGTTCTTGCCAGTCTTTTTTTTTTTTTTTTAAGATTTTATTTATTTACTTGACAGAGATCACAAGTAGGCAGAGACACAGGCAGAGGGGGGTGGGAAGCAGGCTCCCTCCTGAGCAGAGAGCCCGATGTGGGGCTCGATCCCAGGACCCAGGGACCATGACCTGAGCTGAAGGCAGAGGCTTTAACCCACTGAGCCACCCAGGTGCCCCTCCCTTTTTTAAAAGATTTTATTTATTTATTTGACAGACAGAGATCCCAAGTAGGCAGAGAGGCAGGCAGAGAGAGAGGGGGAAGCAGGTTCCCTGCTGAGCAGAGAGCCCGATGTGGGTCTGGATCCTAGGACCCTGGGATAATGACCTAAGCTGACCGCAGATGCTTTAACCCACTGAGCCACCCAGGCGCCCCCCAGATACTCCTTTGTCTTTCATTTTTAAGAAAGCTTTTAACAGGCTGTGTATTTTCACTTAATGCCAGGTACTGACGGAGTTTCCCAAAATTGAATCTGAACATCCAGAAAGAAATACAATAGATGCAGAAAATAAAATGGAAAGGAAAATTGAACCAAATATTTGCTCTGATAAGAGCAGACAGTGTTCTGGAAAAGAGGCCATTCTTTTTAAGCTCGAAACTGTAGAAGAAATTGACCGGAAACATCACCAGGACAGTGATCTCTCTGTGCAAATGCTAAAAGATTTTCTTGAAGATGATGTTGACATGAATCAGTATTTTTTACCGCCAAAGTCATTGCTGCGATATGCTCTTTTGTTTGACATTGTGAAGCCCACGTGCAGAAGGTCCACATGCTTTACCAAAGGGTAGGTTTTAAAGAGACTCTGAAAATGGGTTATTCAAAATAACCAGGTTTTTATGGCTATCATTTCTTTCAGTTCTTCTCAAAACAAGGAGCATTTTACAAAATGTTTCTGCTGGAATTATTTTTTTTTTCCTTTTTGCCCTTAATTGCCTGCTTTCGTGTTCCAATAGAATGCACGAGCGAAAATTCCTTCTGGCAGTACATTATGTGCACAACCCACAAAAGTGCTCATAAAACACAATGCCGTTTGTTTGGTGACCTTCATAAGAGCTTAATTACCCGTGGTGGAAACATGGTTTCTGTAGATATTGAATTGCTACTTTTTAGCACCTTTCTTTTCATGGCACATCACACCTCAAAAATTTATGTCCACTCTCATGATCAATATATAAGAAGAAATTAAATTTTAATATCTAGAAATAAAGTTAAATCATCTGGTGCATATTAAAGCATGTTTAAATTTTATTCAATTTTTAAAAAAATAAGTAATATATTTTTATGGTTCAAAATTCAAAGGTACAAAGATTGTGAGGCTCCTTTCCCTGTCTATCTCTTGCTCATTCAATTTTCCTTCTTACATGCAACCAGAGATTTCAGTTTACTGTCTAATCTTCCAAAGGTATGGTGTGTGAGGGTGTATTTGAATACACATGTGTATTTTACCCCCCTTTTTTTAAGAAAATGGTAATATACTGTATCCGTTATTATATACTTTCTTCATACTCAGTATAAACTGGATATTATAACATATGAATACATAAAGAACTTTCCCATTCTCGTGGTATATCATAAAGCCTTTTATTGGCTACCTTTGGGTTATTTTTTGAATGTTAATATGTTTTTCATCAATTTTTTACAAACCTACAAGTTAGGCCTTTCCAGAAAATTTTATAAAAGATCCCTAGCTCTGCTTTGTTAATGTCACTCAACCTCATTTGATGAATAATTGTATGATTTGAAACTTCAAACTTTCTCTTTTCACCCACTAGTTAGCTTTCATGCATGTTATGTCCCAATACAAGCACACCAGATTTATTCTGATTTTATCATGTTCTGCCCTTGTACTTCCAGGACAACTGGTTTATTGCTTTGCATTGCCTTAAAAGACTTTACTCAGCTGTTGTCTGTTTCCAAGGATGATAAGACAAGACTTATCAGTTTGGTAATAAAAAACAACCTTGAGGGGCGCCTGGGTGGCTCAGTGGGTTGAGCTGCTGCCTTCGGCTCAGGTCGTGATCTCAGGGTCCTGGGATCGAGTCCTGCATTGGGCTCTCTGCTCGGCAGGGAGCCTGCTTCCCTCTCTCTCTCTCTCTCTGCCTGCCTCTCTGTCTACTTGTGATCTCTCTCTGTCAAATAAATAAATAGAATCTTTAAAAAAAAACAAAAAAAAAAAAACCTTGAAATTCATTTGTAATTATAAAGATGGTATAAAGGAAGCCTTACTATAAAAGTCTATTTTAGTGTAGATAATATAAACAGGCATATACACATACGCACCCATGCATATGAGAAAACAGACTTGCAAAGGTATTTTTCTGTGGTGTGCCTTTGTATTTTAAATTGATCCATTTAGGAAAAAAATTTATGATAATATATTGAACAGCTAGCTTGGCAGTGATCCTAGGGGAAGAAATATTACTAATATCTTGCTAGCTTTTTAAACTTTTAATACAGTTTTTTATACAATAGTCTCTTTGTTGTATGAAGAAGAGTGAAAACAATGCATCACAGTAGGAGGCAGATGCATGTTCAGGGGGCCTGTGTTTGTCATGGCACTGGAGAGTGGGCGTCTCAGTTCATGAGGAGAAGTGATGGTTCAGGCATTATAAAAAAATAGTAGCAATTTATTTTCACCTACTTAACATTTGGTTTAATGTGGCAGGGATGCCAGTATTGAATAGCATTTGGATATAAAGTCTTAACAAGTGCATGCTTTCTAGTGATGAACATTAAGAAACTGGCAATACAGAGAAATGATAATTAATAATGTATAATTCAAAGTGGTTTTTACACAACTCAAAATACTATGCCAACTTTAGTGTCTAGAAGTTTAAATAGAATGATCTTATGTCTTCCACCCAGGAATTTTTTACTTACAGAGCATATTTATGTGTTTCATACTATTTCAGAAGGATATAACTATGTAGATTGATTAAATCATTCAAGAAATATTTAAGAAATTTGACATTAACTAATACATTAGATGCTGCATAATACATGTGTTAATATTTCAGTTATGGAAGCTACATAGAAGGGACAGGATCTGTGTTACAGACCACAGAGGATGTGCAGGTATTGTAAATGCTTTAGAACTAAAATATTTGAAAATTATTTTAAATAAACCTATTTAATACTTAAAATTTGGAAATATTAAAATAATTTTACATGTTTAATTGGGAATGAATATACATATTACTCATATATTATACATAATCTCTATAATTCTTTACAGTAAATCTCTTTTTATTTGTTGTTGCTAGATTACTTTCTGTACAAAAATATTTTATGTTTCACTTTCTCTTTTCTTATTTTCACCTTTGGTATTCTTTTTACTCTGAAATGAGTAAATTGAGATGCAGCATACAAGAGTTAATGTTCTCTAAAATTACGCACTAATATCTTAATATTCCCTTGGATCACACACTATAAAACTACCTTTTAGGGAAAGAAATCTACATCTTAGCAAGACTCTTTATTAATACTTCAATTGTAAAATAATTGAAAATAACCTTGATATGCTGCAAAAATATTTTATCCTTTTGAATAATTTTGAAGAGAAATCATGTTATCTTCTTTTATACTGAATTAAACTCTTACCATTTGTAAAATTTACCCATGGTAAAATTCCTATTAGAGGCAAATGGATGTGAGAATTTATTTTTACCAAAGGTATTTTATCATTTTAAGAAAATAATTTGATGAAATTGATCATAAACAGCAAACATTTTAGTGATCTACTTTTTAGCATTGTGAAGTTGATTTCATTTGTTGATCAGATTTCTTTTTCATATCTTTCAGTGTATTTCTTTTATGTCATATTGCCATTGTTTTTTTTCTTATGATTTAATTTTTGAGGGATCAAAAATGACAGGGAAACTGAAAGTTTCCTGATTTGTTCAACATTAAGCTTTTCCTTTTCAGACATTTCATTTTCAAAGTTTATATTGCCATTGGTGAGCCAGTTACAGAATTCATTGGCAAGAGACATTCTGCCATGTGTTCATCCTTTTTGAGGCTTCTCACAAGAGATGATCTTATCTTCACAAATCTACTTGCACTCTACTTGATCAGTTATCTTGGCTGTTTTCTTACAGATTGAGGATATCTACAAATCCCTTACCAATTTGCCGCAAGAAGAAAAGATAACAAAATTGTTAATGCTTAAACTTCGGTATTTCACTCCTAAAGAAATAGCAAATCTCCTTGGATTTCCTTCAGAGTTCGGTATGTGGGATACACGCAGACCCAAGCTTTTGTTTATTAAAGGTGCTAGAGTTCAATAAGGACTCATAGGTGTATTTTATGAATAAATCCTTGCCCAGACAGATGGATATAAGGACCTTCCTTTCCTGATCATGCCATTTTGGACATTTTCCTTCCTTCCTCTTTCTGCTTTTGTTCTTTACCTGCCAAAGTCCATTCCCTTCAGCCTCTATGCTCTCTCCCTTTACTCTAGGACTGGTCCCGAGTGGTTTTGGGAAAGGTGAGCCCAAACTGCAGTTTTTCTCACCTCTCCCCACAGATGGTTGTTAATAGCATGTCCGTCTCCGGCTTTATTTTTTTGATTCCAGAAGTTGTGTTCTAATAACCCCACACTAGATCTTGTGAGAGAATGCCAGAATTGTCCTTTTTATGAAGAAATTAAAAGGTTGTTGAGGAATTAATTTATTTTTTTGGTGGTAAGTATATTTGTATTTATTCTTTTCAGAGATATGTGCTATCAGTTATGCACCTTTTCTCTTCCCTGTGAGTGGAGAAAAGAGAAGGAGTCTGGGAAATAGTGTTCCTAATGGAAAGAAAGGGTGACTCAGGAGCACAGATGCCAGAATGGACAAAATGATTGTGGAGTCTGAAGTAGGGAGTCTCAAAAACAGAAAGGAAGATACAGTAGCAGAATGAGAAAGATGTAGTCCTAACTCCTTTGCAGTCCAGGAAATCCAGGTGTTGTTGCCTTTAGGAGATTGGACACATGGCCCTGGCCTTGTAGAGTGCCTGCCGCATCCCTGATCTCTCCTTCCCAGCGCTGTTCTCTCCACGGTACTGATGCCATCAGTTTTATAGGCTGGGGTGGGTGTGTGGCCAGTACGTGGCTCGTGGTGACTGAGGAAAGACAGACTTCTCTAACATGCTTTCAGGACTGCACAAAGAGGTAAAGAGTTATCAAAAATAACTCTGGGGGTTTGAATGCAGAAAAGCCAAACTTGTCTAAATCCAGTATTGTTACAATATTAATACAGTACTATTTTTGAAGCAGATAATGGGTTAAATAGAGCGTGTTTTAAATTCTAAATAATGGATTTACAGATGAAGTTTTGGAACACGTCCTTCTGTACAGGGGGGGTAAACTGACTGTATAATTTGTCCTCTTGGTATTTGATTCTCGGGGTGTAGTCACAGCAACCAGGTTTGTTTTGCAGCTCTCTGCCTTTCTCTTGATGATCTCATTCAGTCTCAAATATCCTGGGGAGTGTTATTTAAGAAAAACACAAACTTTCCTTGTCTTAGTCTATGTCACAAAATGAGTGAGAACATCATAAAACAAATAAAGAGCTGAGAATTGGACTCAGGAATTTTATTCCCAGTCTGTCTTTTTGCTTACTGTTTTTTTTTTCTTTTTTTAAGATAAACAATCAAAGGTACTTTCCATAGCACTAAAGAATGAAGTGATTTATTATCAAATAACTAATTCCTGTGTTTTGAGTGCATATATCTTTAAGCAGTGGTAATCACTGCAGAAATACTGACACTTAGCATGGACCCCAGAGTCAGACTGACTGAGTTTGAATCCTAGCAGCACCTTAACCCCTCCGCTTTAGTTTACACCTCTGTAGAATGGGGGTAATCACAGAACCAACTTCATAGGGTCTTCATGACCATTAAGTGAGTTAATGTATATAAAATGTTTACACGCTACCTGTAACACATTATAAAATTTAAATGTCAGCTTTTATTTTTAGAATGATGGACATTTATTTGCTTTTATAGCCTCACAGTTTTGTTTTTTTTTTCATCATTTAAAAATTTTACATAGGTAAATTAGGGGTTTTCACAGCTCTCTGAAAATATATGTATAATACATACAAGAAAGGCTTTTTAATTGCTTGACCTTCTTTTAAAATGTGTGATATATTTGTATAATCAGGCTTGATTGATGTCACCACTGAGCAGCACTGTGACAGACTGTCCTTCATGTTTGCTTCCAACATGATTGACTCTGAATCTGGAATGGGCATTGTTTGAGTTGTTTGTCTGTGGTCAATGATGGATTTGCATTGATCCTTTCATACATTTTGTGCTGGTTCTTTTTATGGCTAGTGGCATGTATTCGTGAGATAGCAAGCTTTGGAAGAGGCCACTAACCTACACTTACAGAATGAAAGCTGCTATCTTGACCTTGTTAATGCTATGTTTCTTTGTTTTTGAAGATTGTTTTTATTTTTAATGTACCAGTTTTTTAAAAGTCACCTTTTCATTTAAAAAAGTTATACCTGTATATAAAATACATCCCTCACATATATATAATTTTTATAAATCTGACTTGTTTGCTTTTAAACCTTTCTTACCTTGTGATATAATCTTAATATTACAAAAGGTCATCCCTGGAATATTCTAAGGCTGTGATCTATTTGTGTCTCTGGCTAAGTTGAATGAAATAATTTTTTTAGATGACTAATGTGCTTACCTAAGACATGTTATCTTTATAATAGCAGTTTTATGGTCTTGTTCAATTGCAAATATAATTTTATTATGTAATCACTTATTTTACTGCAATAACTATAATGTCAAGTGTTGATGAAGCAACTTTATCATAATTAATTCTTCCTTCTGGTCTGCACAAAATATATAATTTAATTTTCTTAATACTTTTAAATTATTTCTTCCATTTTATTATATAAATTGCTTTTCCTTTATTTAATTGCTATGCCAAAGGATACTGAATAAGAAAATTGTAACTAACATTATAGTGTATATTTCATGGACAGTCTTTTATGTTGCTATTTGCAAGGCTTTGTTCTAGCAAATTTTGTAACTGTGGGCCAATTTGTTTTAAAAAGAATATAGCAAATGCAAGTCCAATATGAGAAAGCACATTTGTGGAAACAGAATATAAAAAACAACCGTGAGAGATTTTTGTCCAGAATATATAAAGAACTCTCGGGGCACCCTGGTGGCTTAGTAGGTTAAGTGACTGCCTTCGGCTCAGGTCATGATCCCAGAGTTCTGGGATTGAGCCCCACGTAGGGCTTCCTGCTCAGTGGGGAGTCTGCTTCTCCCTCTCCCTTTGCCACTCTGCCTGCTTGTCTCTTTGTCAAATAAATAAATCTTAAAAAACAAAAACAAAAACCTCTCACAACTCAGCAATAAAAAGAAAAATTAAATCAATTAAAATTGGGTTAGGATTTGAATAGGTATTTAACAAAGAAGACAGACAAACGACCAATAAGCACATGAAAAGATGTCTGCTTCATTAGTTATTAGGGAAATGTAAATCAAAGCCACAAGCAGATACCATTTGACAAAAAGACAAGCAATAACAGTGTTGACAAAGATGTGGAGAAATCAGATCCCTTATACACTGCTGGTGGGAATATAAAATGGTGCAGCCACTTTGGAGAACAGTTTGGGAGTTCCTCAAATGTTAGACATGGAATTACTGCATGAGTCAGCATTTTCACCCCCAGGAATATATACCCAAGAGAGCTGAAAACATGTCCATGCAAAAATGTATACAATATTTATAACAGCATTATTCATAATCAAAAAGTGGAAACAGCCCAGTGTCTGTCAGTGGATAAATGGATAAATAAAATGTATTATATCCATGCAGTAGAATACTGTTTAGTTATAAAGAGGAGGGAGTATTGGTCCACCATGTTGCTTTGTTTCTTAGATTCCACATATAAGTGAGATCATAGAGTATTTGTCCTTTTTTCTCTGATTGACTTCATATAGTATAGTGCCTTCAAGGTCCATCTGTATTGTTGGAAATGGCCAGATTTCATTCTTTTTTTTATGACTGAATAGTATTCCTGTGTGTGGGGGGTGGGTTGTTTTCATATCTTGGATATTGTAAATAAAACTGCAATGGACATGGGGTGCATATATCTTTTAAAATTAGTGTTTTCATTTTTACCCTATAAATACCCAGAAGTAAAATTACTAGATCATATGGTAGTTCTATTTTCAATTTGTTGGGGGAAACTTCATACTGTTTTCCATAGTGGCCATACCAATATACCTTCCCTCAATATATTTTGCATATTAACCCTTTATTAGGTATATGATTTGCAAATATTTTCTCCCATTCAGTAGATTGCGTTTTCCTTTTGTTGATGATTTTCTCTGCTTTGTTGTGTGAAAGCTTTTTAATTTGTTGTAGTCCCTCTTATTTATTTTTACTTTTTTTGCCTTTCCTTTGTCAGATCCAAAAAATTGTTGCCAAAATGTCAAGGAGCTTATTTTACTGCCTGTGTTTTCTTTTAGGAGTTGATGGTTTCAGGTCTTACATTCTAGTCTTTAATCCATTTTGAGTTAATTTTTGTGTATCAGAGCAGAGTTTCCAGCTTTATTCTTTCACAAGATGGCTTTGCTATTTAGGGTCCTTTGTAATTCTGTATGAATTTAAGATTGTGTATTCCACTTGTGTGAAAAATGCCATTGGAATGATGATAGGTATTGCCTTGAATATGTAGACTTTGGATAGTGGACGTTTTACTAATACTTCTTCCAGTCCATGAGCACGTACTATCTTTCCATTTGTGTCTTCTTTCATTTCTTTCATCTGTTTCTTACAATCTTTTATGTGTACAGATCTTTTACATCCTTGATTAAATTTATTCTTGGGTATTTTATTCTTTTTGATGGAATTGTAAATGGGATTGTTAATTTCTCTTTCTGATAGTTTGTTATCAGTATATAGAAACACAAGAGATCTTTGTATATTAATTTTGTATCCTGAAACTTCACTGATTTTATTTATTAGTTCTGACAGCTCTTTTTGGTGGAGTCTTTGGGTTTTTATATATATAATATCATGTCATCAGCAAATTGTGACAGTTTTGCTTTTTCCTTACCATTTTGGATGCCTGTTGTCTCTTTCTTTGCCTAATTGCTCTGGCTTCCAGTACTATGACTTCCAATACTATGTTGGGTAAAAGTGTCAAGAGTTGGCATCCCTGTCTTGTTCCTGATCTTAGAGGAAAATTTTTAGCTTTTTACTTTTGAGTATGATGTTAGCTGTGGGCCAGCTTTCTTTTTGAGGTAATAAAAATGTTCTAGAATTAAATAGTGGAGATGTTTGCAAAACTCTGACTATTCTAAAAACCACTGAATTTTACATTTTAAAAGGGTGAATTTTATGTCGATAAAGCTGTTAATTTTTTTAAAAGATTTTATTTATTTATTTGAGAGAGAGAGTATGAGAGGGGAGAAGGTCAGAGGGAGAAGCAGACTCCCTGTGGAGCTGGGAGCCCGATGTGGGACTCGATCCTGGAACTCCGGGATCACGACCTGAGCTGAAGGCAGTGGCTTAACCAACTGAGCCACCCAGGCGCCCCCGTAAAGCTGTTATTAAGTAAAGGAAAACAACTGTGAAATAATGGTAGCCACTACTTTTCCTGATGTGCTTTAAAATACAGATCATCATGAGTTTCATGGATGTTATGGTATACTTATGTGTACACTGAATATAGTATGTTATGTGACATGATAATATCACATTGTGTATGCAATGTAACCTTATATTTTTGGCTTCAAATTCTCACTTGTTAGTTGAATTTCATGGAGATTTTAGGGACTTATTTATGTGAATGACCACTGTGTTCTTACAAAAAGATACATCATCCTTTTATCTTTGGAAGTTAATATTTTAAATGATTGTATTGTAAGTTATTATCTCTCTTTTCTAGGATTTCCCGAGAAGATAACAGTGAAACAGCGTTATCGTCTACTTGGAAATAGTCTCAATGTGCATGTAGTAGCTAAACTAATCAAAATCCTGTGTGAATAATTTAAAAATGTCTATGAAAGATGGTCACATTATTTCTTCATATCCAGATGGTAATTCTAAAATTCTATTCTGAATTGATTTTGATGAAATTCAACTAAACTATCTTTATCTCTTTAAAAAGAAGCTTGGATTTATCATAAAAAGGCCAGTTTTTTCCCTGAATTTGTATTACTGTATTTTGTAAAGCAGAAATTATTATTATGCTTTAGGAGAATATATTTTCATATGAAATTGCTAAATATATCTGTAAAATATTCTTTTTTTTTAAGATTTTTTTTTTTTTTTTACTTATTTATTTGACAGTCAGAGATCACAAGTAGGCAGAGAGGCAGGCAGAGAGAGAGGAAGGGAAGCAGACTCCCTGCCGAGCAGAGAGCCTGATGTGAGGCTCTATCCCAGGACCCTGGGATCATGACCTGAGCCGAAGGCAGAGGCTTTAACCCACTGAGCCACCCAGGAGCCCCAAAAATATTCTTTTTGATATTATGGTATTGACAAATTCAGGAACATTGGAGTTTGAATGTCTTAGTATTTTATGAAGTGTCATGACAGGCATAGTATAGTGAACCTGAGATATTATATTTTTATATGTTAATTAAACAAATTAGTTTAGGAATCCTATCATTTTTTTGTTAGATGATTAATTCCTCATTCTAAAATGATGATTCTAATTTTGGCCTATTTCAAACATTGAATGTTTTACTTAATTCCAATCCTTTAAACATTTCTTAATCGTAGCTAAACAAATGCATATAATATTTTAAAATGAATTATCATCATTCAGCATTCTTATAATAGTTTGAAGGAAATGTTAGAAAAATAGTCCTAAATTCTTGATTACCTGTCCATTGGAAGCTACAGAAAATGTAGATACACATTATCTGATTATCTTTTATTCTAACTCCATTTGAACCTCGAAACTTCATTGTCTCTTCTTTTGTTATTTGTAAATACCTTCCCTTCAGTTTGCTATCATCAGAGCTTGCTCTTGTCTTCCTTCTCTGCTGCTTCTTGTAAGTTAAATTTTCCATCACATTCTAAGGATGTAGCACGACATTCAGATTTTAGGGAGGAGACTCTGCCCTCTGACCCCAATTCATATGACTGTTCTATGAATTAGCTTTTTAAACTTTTGCTTTCTCTTTCAGTAGACTTCTTGGAATTTGGGTTTCTAATCAGACTGTCTTATACCATCAATCCTGTGGTTTTGATTTCAGTGATAAAAGCAAGGGACAAAGAGAAGAAAATTGAAGTAAGACCAGAAATTGTATCACCAAATAAAAATGATATTTTTATTCTTAAAAGATAATCATTTTGTTGGGGAGAAATTGGAACCCTGTGCCCTGCTGGCGGAAATATCAAATGGTGCAACCACTGCAGAAAATAGATGATGATTCCTTAAAAAAAAAATTGAACATATAATTACCATGTGATCCAGCAATTCCACTTCTGGGTATTTACCCAAAAGGATTGAAAGTAAGGACTTGAACAGATATTTGTACACTAATGTTTATAGAAGCATTATTCACAGTAGCCAAAAGGTGGAAACGATCAAAGTGTCCATCAGTGGACATGCATAAACAAAATGTGATGTATACTTATGTGGAATATTACTCAACCATGAAAAGAAATTCTGACACGTGCAACAACATGGATGACCCTTAAAGATATTATGGTCAGTGAAATAAGCCAGACACAAAAGGACAAATTTTCTATAATTCCACTTATATGGGGCATGTGAAAGCATCAAGTTCATAGAGACAAACAGTAGACTAGGCTTTACCGTGGCTTGGGGCACCTGGGGAATGGGAGTTCATGTTTAACGGGTTCAGAGTTTCTGTTTGGGATGGTGGAAACATTCTGGGGATAGATGGTGGTGATGGTTGCACAGAGGTGTAAATGTACTTAATGCCACTGAACTGCATGCTTAACAGTCCTTAGAAGGGCAAGTTTTATGTTATATACATTTTACCACAATTTAATAAAAAACATAATTGTCTCCCCACCAACATTTTTTTCAGAGGAGCTCATAGAGAAGTATGGATATAGGGAAGCTGTAGGACAATGCATACATGTATCAATTATCACATCTACATTTTGTGTATGATGTTTAAAGACAAACCTTATTACAAGTCTCATAAGTTTTAGTATACAACAGTCTGAAATTCCTTTGGCACACTTTCACTAGTTCCTCTTCACTGTTGAAAGAATCTCACTAATAAAAAGGTTCAGAGTTTTACTGTGATTAAGCTATAATTACAGTGTCCTATGCCCCATTGAGCAATGTCACACAAAATAACTGTTGAGAACAGTGCACCAACTGTAAACCTAGAAAAGCTCCGTCGAGTGTTTTCCTCCTAACTAAAATAACATTGCTTTGTGAATTTTTTTTAAATTATTGAAATATATTCACGGGCGTCTGATGATTCTTGCCCTTGAAAAGAAAAAAGTAGCAAGCATAAAACTCATACCTTAACAAAGATATATTTAACTGTATAATATACTTAGTTTATATGTACGTGCAAAATTAGTCTTAAAAACGGTATTTTAGGGGGAGGAGTCAAGATGGTGGAGAAGTAGCAGGCTGAGACTACTTCAGGTAGCGGGAGATCAGCTAAATAGCTTATCTAAAGATTGCAAACACCTACAAATCCAATGGGAGATCGAAGAGAAGAAGAACAACAACTCTAGAAACAGAAAATCAACCACTTTCTGAAAGGTAGGACTGGCGGAGAAGTGAATCCAAAGCCACGGGAAGATAGACCGCGGGGGGAGGGGCCGGCTCCCGGCAAGCTGCAGAGCAACGGAGCACAAAATTGGGACTTTTAAAAGTCTGTTCCGCTGAGGGACATCGCTCCAGAGCCTTAACCGGGGCGAAGCCCAGGCGGGGTCCGCGTGGCCTCAGGTCCCGCAGGGTCACAGAAGGATCGGGGGTGTCTGAGTGTCACAGAGCTTACAGGTATTAGAACGGGGAAGCCGGCTACAGGACAGAGCCGAGGAGTGAGCTCTCAGCTAGGCGTTACCTTGAACCGGTCGCAGGCTCGGTCACCTCGGAGCGCAGCCGGAGGCCAGGGTGACGGGAGTAATGGGGCGCTGTTCTCTGAGGGCGCACTGAGGAGTGGGGCCCTGGGCTCTCGGCTCCTCCGGGCCGGAGACCAGGAGGCCGCCATCTTTATTCCCGCCCTCTGGAACTCTACGGAAAGCGCTCAGGGGACAAAAGCTCCCGAAAGCAAACCTGAGCAGATTACTCAGCCCGGCCCGGGGGTAAGGGCGGTGCAACTCCGCCTGGGGCAAAGACACTTGAGAATCACTACAACAGGCCCCTCCCCCAGAAGATCAACAAGAAACCCAGCCAGGACCAAGTTCACCTACCAAGGAGTGCAGGTTCAATACCAAGGAGAGCAGCGGAATTCTAGAGGAGGAGAAAGCAAAGCATGGAACTCATGGCTTTCTCCCCATGAGTCTTTAGCCTTGCAGTTAATTTAATTTTTTTTTCTTTTTCAATTTTATTTCTCTTCTTCTGCTAAATTTTTTTAACTTTTACCGTTTTCTTTTTTAACGTTTTTTAAATAGTTTATCTAATATATATATATATATTTTTTTCCTTTTTATATTTTTTCTTTATCGGTTTTCTTTTTTTAATTGTTTCTTTTATTTTTTTTTTTCCTTTCTAAACCTCTTTTTATCCCCTTTCTCCCCCCTCACAATTTGGGATCTCTTCTGATTTGGCTAAAGCATATTTTCCTGGGGTTGTTGCCACCCTTTTAGTATTTTACTTGCTCTTTCATATACTCTTATCTGGACAAAATGACAAGGCGGAAAAATTCACCACAAAAAAAAGAACAAGAAGCAGTACCAAAGGCTAGGGACCTAATCAATACAGACATTGGTAATATGTCAGATATAGAGTTCAGAATGACGATTCTCAAGGTTCTAGCTGGGCTCGAAAAAGGCATGGAAGATATTAAAGCAACCCTCTCGGGAGATATAAAAGCCCTTTCTGGAGAAATAAAAGAACTAAAATCTAACCAAGTTGAAATCAAAAAAGCTATTAATGAGGTGCAATCAAAAATGGAGGCTCTCACTGCTAGGATAAATGAGGCAGAAGAAAGAATTAGCGATATAGAAGACCAAATGACAGAGAATAAAGAAGCTGAGCAAAAGAGGGACAAACAGCTACTGGACCACGAGGGGAGAATTCGAGAGATAAGTGACACCATAAGACGAAACAACATTAGAATAATTGGGATTCCAGAAGAAGAGGAAACAGAGAGGGGAGCAGAAGGTATATTGGAGAGAATTATTGGAGAGAATTTCCCCACTATGGCAAAGGGAACAAGCATCAAAATCCAGGAGGTTCAGAGAACCCCCCTCAAAATCAATAAGAATAGGTCCACACCCCGTCACCTAATAGTAAAATTTACAAGTCTTAGTGACAAAGAGAAGATCCTGAAAGCAGCCCGGGAAAAGAAGTCTGTAACGTACAATGGTAAAAATATTAGATTGGCAGCAGACTTATCCACAGAGACCTGGCAGGCCAGAAAGAGCTGGCATGATATATTCAGAGTACTAAACGAGAAAAACATGCAGCCAAGAATACTATATCCAGCTAGGCTATCATTGAAAATAGAAGGAGAGATTAAAAGCTTCCAGGACAAACAAAAACTGAAAGAATTTGCAAATACCAAACCAGCTCTACAGGAAATATTGAAAGGGGTCCTCTAAGCAAAGAGAGACCCTAAAAGTAGTAGATCAGAAAGGAACAGAGACAATATACAGTAACAGTCACCTTACAGGCAATACAATGGCACTAAATTCATATCTCTCAATAGTTACCCTGAATGTTAATGGGCTAAATGCCCCAATCAAAAGACACAGGGTATCAGAATGGATAAAAAAACAAAACCCATCTATATGTTGCCTACAAGAAACTCATCTTAAACCCGAAGACACCTCCAGATTTAAAGTGAGGGGGTGGAAAAGAATTTACCATGCTAATGGACATCAGAAGAAAGCAGGAGTGGCAATCCTTATATCAGATCAATTAGATTTTAAGCCAAAGACTATAATAAGAGATGAGGAAGGACACTATATCATACTCAAAGGAACTGTCCAACAAGAAGATCTAACAATTTTAAATATCTATGCCCCTAACATGGGAGCAGCCAACTATATAAACCAATTAATAACAAAATCAAAGAAACACATCGACAATAATACAATAATCGTAGGGGACTTTAACACTCCCCTCACTGAAATGGACAGATCATCCAAGCAAAAGATC